GCGGGGAGTGTAACTTCAAGGCTTTTCTTCTTTCTTTCTTGTAAAGCTTGTACTTTTGCACCTTGTTCGTGCCTGTTACTATATGCTTTTTTAACTCATTAAAGAGAGTGGGTACCCTATTTAATCTTACCATATACGTGTACGAGATCGCCAGGAAGTAAATAAAAGAATTAAGGGCATCTTATAAGATGTTACCATTATTTATGCAAGTATGGACCATGTCAAGCTATACCTGTCCATACACTATTTTTTGTATTTATTTACTTTTATTTGCTTTACTTGCTTATCAAAATATAAAGGCAACTGCTTTTACGTTTTACCGTGCCCCAGTCAAATATTTTTCTCTGCTGAGATCATCGTACTTTTAAAGCATCATAATCCAAGATATTGGCTGGAAATCCTCGACTCTAATTTCTTTCTGTGATTAGGACTACAAAGTTCATCGTGATGAAATACATTCCAAGTTGGTACAGATAATGCGGGAAAGATTGCTGGTACACCTTCGGAGTTTGCCACAAATTGTTGAGAGTTGGAATAGGCAGGAAGATACTGACTCACAGCCAAGTCAGTATGCTCGTTCAATCACAAAGGTAGAAGCTTGTCTGTGATATGTCTGAATGTTTTTTCACCTCAGTTCTTGCCCTTTTTGAAGTAAAGGTTTTACGGAATTTCTGCAATTAACAATTCATTCTAGCTTATCAACATGAAATTTGTGCAAAGCTGATGTGCGAAGAAAAATTGAGTTGAAGAAGGGAAACCGTTGAAGCGTGATTACTACCTTCCACGTTGGAATATTGATGAACCAATCTGTGAATCCAAATATTGCCATGTTGACTTGATATATTAATGACTAACAAGTTCACGCACCTCTTGGAATATTTACCCTTTAACTAGATTAGCTGAGTTTTTTGACTCATTCTCGAAATAAAATTGATCTGATGTATTGTTACAATGATTTTTGGTCGTCTTTCTTGTCCTCCTATCTTCAGTTATCTCTTAATATTTCTGCAATCTTGCTAGTGAGTTCACTGTCTTGCATAGTTTCTGTGTTTAGTTCTTACATGCTTGTTACTTCTGTTTTTTGTTGTTTCCTTAGATTCTCTTTGTTTTATCAGAAGTTCCATTAACTCATTTTACTTTTTTCATTT